ATATTCGTGTTCTGCGTTATTAATTTCTTTTGAAATTGATTGTTTTTATGGACTGTGAATATGAATATATGAATATGAGCCCCCCCCCCCAATTATCGAGCTTGCTACGGCACTGATGATGAATTAAGTTCTAATAAGACATTAATGTATTTTAAAACAATTTTATGATGTCTATATGTCATATTTCAAATTATCCTTTTATTTAACGATCATATTTCGAATTAATGTAATTCCCCCCTTTAAATCCCAATGGTAAAGGAAGCCTGGTTTCCCAGGCATTCGCGGTAGTAATCGTCGGTCTTTGTAAGTTCAATATAAAATGGGTTTTGATTTCCATTGTTAAAATATGGTTCAAACTTGTACATCTCGCCGAAGTATCTGTGCTGGCGAAGTTAATGCACACTAACCCAATATAATTTTAAAATAAATGTTTAATAAAATATAGAATTTTCTCACAAATAATCGCTGTAACATCACAAAATATACTCACGTCCTCGCTCACATTCTCGCGTCCCTATGGTAACCTAATTTCCTTAGTTGGAGGTAACCTAATTTTATGGTTTATGGTAACCTAATTTCCTTAGTTGAAATTTTCAACTTTTACCCTTACTTTAACAATACGAACGCAACTATACAGGGTGTCCCCCAAAAAAGTGACACTATAGAAATTATCTCATTGTTCTTAAGCCGCTCTTGAACGCGCGTGATTACACGCCTGGGAATTTAATGAACTTATATTTACATTTAAGCATTTTAAAACGTTTTCGCTTTGTCCAAATATTTTAACGCCCGAGTCAAGCAAAACGATTACACTAATAAGCGGTTTGCTTTTTTATTTTAAATTCCAGAAGCAGAAGTTTATGCACCTGTGCGATCAACTTAGTGCAAGGGCATTCAAATTATAACAATAGGATAATTTCCATAGTGTCACTTTTTTTTGGGACACCCTGTACATGTATCTATAGTTCAATTGTCCTCTTCTTCATCTAACTGCAATCGTACTCTCTGCCCCGCTTCCTTCGCCGCGTCTCTTTGGACTCGTTGATTCTTAGAGACCGTTTTGTTCTGCTTTTCCTCCACGGCACTTTCTATGACTTTAAGTTCCAATGGACAGGATAATTAATGTTACATTGTATTTTTTAAAGATCTGTAAAGTCCGTTCTGCGCATATATTCTGCGCATCAACACATTCCATCAGTGGGGGAGCAACCTTTGGAATGTTGTTAATATTTCGCACCTTCCGAACTTTCTTGAATTGAATCCCTAGTCTGCATTCAATTACAAGTATAGCGAACCGGAAGAGTGTTAAAAATTCAGTATAATATATATCTAATCATATTTTACAACTGTAGCACTGAGTTCAAAATGTAAACAAAGCGTTTGTTTACATTACGGACTTTACATCACCTTTAAAGAAGTATTTACAAGTATATAAACACAAAAAGACAAGACAAGAGACAACCAATAACAGAAAAAACATATAGTCACAAAGACAATTGAAGAAACAGACTAGGATAAGCGACAAGTATCGAGAATATATCGTTGTACAATGCCAAATAGCACACAATTTTCTTTATAACTCAGTTGAGTAGATCTATTTAACATAAACTTACCTTCTCATTGTCACTACCCACTTCACCACTTGCCATCCTTGACTACAAACTTCGGTTCGTAAAGGAATATAAGATCTTTCGTTCACCGATTTTGGCAAAAGTTCTACTAAATATGGAGCAGTATGTTTGTTAACTATCTTATAGAAATGAGACAATTTATGAATCTTTCTTCTCATCTTCTGACGCTAAATTCTTCCCAAGCAAGTTCGTCCCGAAGGCTTCTTGAACTAGTACCTGCTATAGGTCCAGTAACGACTTTAACTGACTCATATTGAACAGTTTCAAGTAACTCGCTATTTCCAGCACAGACAAATTATCCCATATAAGATCCCCATACTCCATAACTGGACGTATCACACTTTTACACCAACAAACAAGAGTTGACCTATCAATTTTAAACCTTAATGACTTTAACAAATTTAATCGTTTAGAGGCCTTTTCATAGATTGAAAATATACGACTATTCCATGACATATTATTTTGAAGAGCAAGGCCAAGGTGGATATAAATATCAACTTCTTCGATATCACACCCTCCCATTGACAGCACCGGCTGATTTAGCCTTTTTCTCTTATTCGAAAAAGTTATAGATCGGTTCATTGTCATCAACCACCGATCATACCATCGAGAAATCTTTGTATCATCAGCAAAGATGAAAGGACAGGATTCTAAATCATCAGTCAAATAATTTATATAAATTAAAAACAAAAGCGGTGCTAACACCGACCCTTGCGGAACCAACCTTTTCCCACTCAGAGGACTGCCCTTCTATAACTACACGTTGTATTCTATTTTCTACATAGCTTTCAAACCATTGCAAAAGAGGATTGCGAACTCCGAGTGCTTCGAGTTTTTTTAGTAATCCAGCATGCCAGTTTGTCAAACGCCTTACTTATATCCAAAAAAGCAACTCTCACTTCTTTGCCGGCTTCAAACGCGCAATAAATCTGGTGTACAATATATAATAGTTGATTGACTGTTGAATCACATGGTCGAAATCCTGATTGGAACTTGTATAGAAAGCCTATTTCTAATAAAAAATTATAAAGTCTATCAAAAACAACTGTTTCACATATTTTAGATAGAAGCGACACTGGTCTGTAATTAATTTTCAGTTGAGGTTCGCCCTTTTGTGTGAGTGTTTTTTCCGAGCGTTTTTTCCTGTTACCACTTTGGCGCGGGGAAAGGAGATTATATAATAACTAGAGTGAAATACGCAATTTGATTGGTCGATAGCCGTGCAGGATCAGGATATTCTGCACGAGGAATTAAAGTGCCTTCGCGGAATTTTCGCGGGATTCTCAAAATGTCATTGTTTCACTGTAGTTATTTTATAAAACAATTACCAAATGGTTTTCCAAGCAGGATAGCGTGATCCATTTTCGACTTTCGGAAAGCGTAAAAATACACTCACCTGCGGCTCGAGTATTTTTACGCTTACGAAGTCTCGCGACATCCCTCGTGCATGGATCACGCAATCCTGCACGAAAAACCATTCGGTATTCCTTTATTATTTTCCATTAGATAACAACTGAACTGATCGAGAACTACCCTCTCACAAACTTTGGAGGCAACGTTAAGAAGCGAAAGAGGTCGGTTATTTGAAGGCACTTCGTGATCTCTCTCTCTTTCAACAATGGTATTAATTCGGCTATTTTCCATGCATCTGGAAACTCAGAGGTGGTGAGCGAGCGGTTTATTATGCTGGTTAGGGGTTCCAAGATAACATGGAGACAGTCTTTGATAACACGCATGTTAATTTTATCTGGACCAGGGGATTTATTTGAAGGCATGGAGACTATAATAGCGCGAACCGTTGCGCTCGAGACTGGCCTGAGGTTGAACTAGTTTTCTGCGACAACTATGATAGGCATTGGGTGTAAAATTTTCATCGTGCACATCTGCTAGGCGCAGGGCTTCTTTAGCGGTGTTGCGACCGACGGAGGAAAATACTGATTGAATTCTTCTGCTACAAGGTGTCGGTCTTTACTATAAACTTGAAGCTCTTTGTCTTTGGATGGGATAACGCGACTGATAATTTTCCACAGTGAGCTGGGATTATCCCTGTGTTGTTGAACTTCAGACGATATGTAATTTCTTTCACATCCTGTAAAATGACCTTTATTTCTTTGCGAGAATTTTTGTAATTTTGCCAATAATTGGGGTCGCGAGTTTGCAGGAATCTCCGATGTAGATTGTTCCTCCTCTTCATGAGCTGTTTGACTTCTAAAGTGACATACGGGCAAGGTCGACTACGAATCTTTATGGTTCTGATGGGAGCATGAACTTCGAGGACTGAGCTGATTACGTAAAGCTAGAGAGCATGGAGTTTATGTCCATGTATGATGGAGTGAATAGCCCCGACAAGTTGATGGAAAGGTCTGCCGCAAAGGCTTCTGGGTCATAGTTCTTGAAACTGCGTACCGTAATGTAGAGAGGTGGAGGCGTGGGTGGTTTCAACTTAAATACGGCATAAACTGGGAGATGGTCACTGATTGGGTTGTTAGTGGCGCCACTATTGTATACAAGTGTGGGACAGGAGACCAGAATCACATCGATGTGTGACTGGGAGGTGTCTGATATTCTGGTTGGAGCCTTGATGATCTGTGAGAGATTATGTTCAACTGAGATATCAAATAGTGCTTTACTGTCAGGACCATTCTTCAAGGTATTACAATATTACAATTTAGGTCACCGATAACTATAATTGGTTTGCCAAATACGAGGGCTTTGTTGTAGCATGGCTTCAGATGGTCTTCGAAACAGCACAGATGACAAACAGGGGGTCTGTACGATATGCATATCAGGAGAGATTTCAGCTTCTCAGATTACAGCATTAACCAGAGTTGGTGGAAACTGTTTTCGAGATATGCTAGAAAGTTCTGTCATCTTGGATGCTTTAATGCCCTGGCGAATGTAAGCGCACACACCACCGCCTGTCTTATACAGTCGATCCAATCTAAAGAGTTTGTAGCCATCGATACGAATTTCACAGTTGGTTATTGTGGTATTAAGCCAAGACTCGGAAATCGTCAGGACGTCAGGTTTGTTTGATTAAGCGAATTCGCGGAGTTGTGCCAGGTGAGTCGTATTTCTCAAAGAGCGTATGTTTATGCTGTCTATCTATAAGTCTGAAATTACTTTTATTCTTGCTATTGTTAACTGTCCCATTAGAGTATACGGCGGGATCAATAATATTCAAATAAGGCGAATTGTTTGTTCTTGAAACAATGGCGTCTTGTGATTTCCCTTTTCGATCGGTTTTTCTTTTGCTGTTCAGGTGATATTTTCTGTCCAGATTTGATGGTATTTCGACTTTCGTTCGGCTTACTGAGTGGGTTGATAGTAACCAATGATCTGGCCCCACGAGACTCGGTTGAAGTAAACAACATCGTCTGTCGAGGGCAGGTTATAATAGCGATTGATTGTTGTTTTATACAGACGTCTTTCTCGAACTTGCTTTCCGGCACGGCGCTCTATACGGCTGAAGGGTTCTTTCAAAGATACTTTCTGGTTTACTGTTTTTGATATAATAATTTGTTGTCCGGTAAACCAAGTTATAAAATATCATTGCCGTCGGATTGAATATGGCGGTGTGGAGTCTTCTACTTGAGAACATGATTTCAACATTCATTTCTGAATCTCTTGATCTCGTTCCCGAATCTCTTGATACAGGAACGAGATGTGTAACTAAGGTTAAATTAATGTGTGGCTGCCTTTGTAGGTGCTTTACAGAGCTAAATCTACAAGCTATATCAGAGCTATACGGAGCTCTCAAAGACGCGTCCGTACACGATTCAAAAGCTAGAAAGAATATAATGTTTCGAACACACATTTTGATCATTGCGTTTGACAAGTGTTCTCTGGTTCTCAAGTGTTCTCTACTTTAGATTGCGTTGGATTGTTTTTAAAATGGCTCAATCGGTAAGTTTACAATGTATTTGTTTTGAATATATGTTTACGATAATTTTATTTTGAGATTCATAGGTTGCATTTCTGACTAATTTATTTTTTAGATTAATATGTTGGATATGATCAAGGCTTGTGAGACAGAAAATGAGCTCGACCATCTTTAGGAGTCGTTTGTGCTCACTGATGAGCAGAAGGAAGCTGTATGATATCCTAAGATATCACTGATGAGCAGAAGGAAGCTGTATGATATCCTAAGATATTGTATGATATCCTAAGGTACTGTATGATATCCTAAGATATTGATATCCTAAGATACTGCATGATATCCTATTGTATGATATTCTAAGATAGTGTATGATATCCTAAGATATTGTACGATATCCTAAGATATTGTATGATATCCTAAGATATTGATATCCTAAGATATTAATATCCTAAAATCTGCATGATATCCTATTGTATGATATCCTAAGATACTGTATGATATCACACCATAACTGATAATAATTTGGTGTATTCGTTCTATAATTATTAATTTATGCATTTATCCAGTATTCTTCCTTATCTTCTTCATTATCCTTATCTTTATCTTCTTATCTTCCTTATCCTCTTCATGTTCTTCCTTATCTTTATCTTCCTTATCCTCTTCATGTTCTTCCTTATCTTTATCTTCTTACTTCCTTCTCTTCATGTTCTTCCTTATCTTTATCTTCTTATCTTCCTTATCTTCCTTGTCTTTATCTTAAATGCGTCAATCGTCATCGTTAATTATTGTAAAATACAATGTGGTCGGAAGGCGCTTTTGACAACATTTTCATCAAACCTCCGTTCAGCCCTTTCCGTCGACCCGCGAATTTTAGGGCGGGCGAAACGTAGGTCTGTTTCAGGCTACCCAAAGGTCGCGGGTTCGATTCCCACCGTAGTCTGGCGAAGCTATACCTGTGTGGAACGTCATGATGCAACTGAAAGGCTAGACATGCTAAAGTTTGAGGTTTTGAAAATATAGTCAGTATTTAATATTCAGATGTATGTATGCCAGTGCCTTTGGAAAATATCTTTTCAGGACGGACCTCCCAACCGCCCTAAGTCGGCGACTTTAGAATCGGAGCAGGATTATAAATATTTCGCCAAACACGTGTGCGATTTTTCATTAATATTAATTCTCGAACCGTGTAATTTCCTATACAAATTATGCGACGCACAGCTATTGCAACGTACTTTAACCAGTACATGTGGTGGCGTGGTTACCTGCATGATTACCTTCAAGCTGGGTGTCCCTGGTTCAATCCTTGGTTGGATCTCTACCCAAGATCTTAAGATAACTGAGAAGAGCTACCTTCATATTGGCATCAGCAGAACATTTCGCGTCTTCTCGGATAAGGACGTCAAAACCGTAGGTATCTCGGATCCCCTATCAATTGGGCAATAGCCTGTTGGGAACTCCGCTCACCAATGGGCGATAAACTCAATGAACTAAATTAAACTTTTAGTGTAATCGGGAAAGTAATAGCAGCGATCCAGTGCATGTGACATCGTAGATGCAGAGGTTGTTGTATATCCTGGGTCTTCTACTCGACTGAAGGAATACCGAATGGTTTTCCGTGCAGGATTGCGTGATCCATGCACGAGGGATGTCGCGAGACTTTCGGAAAGCGTAAAAATACTCGAGCCGCAGACGAGTGTGTTTTTACGCTTCCCGAAAGTCGGGCAACATCCCAAGTGCATGGATCACGCTATCCTGCTGGGAAAACCATTTGGTAATTGTTTTATAAAATAACTACAGTGAAACAATGACATATTGAGAATCGCGCGAAAACATTTTAATTCCTCTTGCAGGATAGCCTGATCCTGCACGGCTATTGACCAATCAAATTGCGTGTTTCACTGTAGTTATTATATAAAAAGCCGTTGTGACATTGTACAGAAGGCTGTATGCAACCCTCAAAGGACGTACAGACACCATATGCAACCCACTTCTCAGTAATCACATTTTTAAAGTAATCCGCATCAGTAATAGATTATGTTTATTACAAATGTAAAATTCCTGTGAAACTTTGAATGCTTTGTGTTTGACTATATGTTACAACGCAACTTTTTTCAAAACTTATTTGATTGATATACATGCTCACAAAACCTAAAATCTACATTATATAATAGTTATAGACTATAGAGAGTTATAATATAAGTCAATTGTAGATGTTTATACAACTTGAAATACAAAGATGTAACACTTTTTCTGAAATTCTACCTGTGACCCTAACACATAATCAACATCAACATTCTTCTGCGCGAGCCGCCATTTTTTCTTATCCTCAAGCTCTTTAAATTTCGATTGATATCCATAATGATCTTCGTTCTCATAAACATCTTTGCGAATAGTGAAAACTATATATCCACCTAGAAAAAATAACAAAATGCAAAAACCGTCAAGGTTACTGAAAGGGCACTACTAGGAAATTGTACAATTATCCTGAGGTTCATACGGAGTTAAATAGTAGAACAATTTAGCGAACGTTTAATCTAGAACGTACCCCATGGCGGCGAGGATTTTTCGAGAGCCTGGTCAGCGGGGGAAAAAGATGTTTACGGAAGGCTCTCGGTAATGCAAGGTTAATTAACAATGGATAAGTTATTGACTGTGCTGTTTACGGTTGTGGCCATGCTCAACTGTAGGCCGTTGACGTATGAATATGAGGAACTTCGAGAGATGTTGACAACCTCGCGTCTAATGTATGGTAGACAAATTATTTTAATGCCATGTTAGCTTGATGATGATTACAACGAGGACTGGGACGAAGTAGATGTTGGAACTGGATTTCAATGGGCGGTTAAAGCAGGTGATGTGATTTGGTGATTGTGTCAGAGGAAATGAAGAAGCTTGGTGAGTGCCAAACTGGTATTGCTGAGAAGTTGGTGGTTGGTCGGAATGGAGTTGTGCGTAGAGCGAAGGTCAGGACGATTAAGGATGGAAAGCCTAGGCTAGTAGATTGCACAGACCATTACAAAAGCTGGTTCCATTAGAAATCAGTTTAGGTCAGGAAAGGAAAGGGAAGGAAAGTGAATGATGAAAACGAAAAGAAGGTTAGAAGAACAGGAAGAGTGAAGACAGCAGTGGCGATTGATGTTGATGTTCAGTGGAAAAATATATTAATGTTGATTCCTGATTGAGTTAAGTGTTGGACATACCTCATGCAAGAACAATATAGAATAAATTATGACGTAATCTTATATAGCACGAGGGAGAGCAGAGTTTTGAAAGTAGACATGTAAAAATTTGGATCGATTGTAAGCAACTGAATATTTCATAAATATAATACAAATTGTGTGTATTGTCGAGTTTTCGCAACATATTAGGGACCTTATAAAGCATGTACGACGGCAACGCGACGACAACCAAAACAAACTTCTTCAAATAAATTGTTGCGAGGAAGAGTTGTTGTGTATTATCCACTGCATGCATGTATATATGAATTGATTCAGTTTGAAGAGATTAAAACAAAGGCTTTATGGTTAAAAACGCTTCTGCTGAGCAAATTTGTAGTTTCACTTGTCGCGTCTTGATATGTTTGCGTTGTACACGAGACGTGAAAATCTCTGGTTTGCCGTTGTAAAAAGCCCTAACACAACGTCTCTAACTCCTGTGGGGCTTTTAATTATTCATTTCTTTTGTACGAGATCAGCAATATCATTGTGCGAATAGTCGTCGTCGTGGCGTTGCCGTCCTGTTTGCTTAAGGTCCCTATTTAAAAGTAGAGATATTACATCCGTGCTAAAATTAGCAAACATTCACATGTATTACATTGTCACTACAAAGTTATGTGTCCGACATCAAATGACCCGTTCTACAAGGAACGCGACGAATTTTAATTTGTTCAAGATTTTATTCAGAAAACGGTCACTAATAGCATTTTACCTGGTTTAACCAATCGCAGGACTTCATCCATCGCATCAGGTTTAATGTAACCGCTGGTAATTGCCCCAGCTCCAATTAATGCATCATAATCCCCGGTGGGTATATCCAACCTTTTGGATGTCACTACTGCACAGATGAACTTGTTGTATACTTTCTTTTCCTCTGCCTTTTCCATCATCTTTTCACTTAAATCAAGACCTTGTATATTTGTGTATCCATGTTTGGCAAGAAGGCTCCCTATAATACCAGTACCACAACATAAATCAAGTATTTTCAAGCCTTTGTTGCTGTCTCCATGAACGCTTGCAAACGTATCAGTCAAACGTACAGCACCTTCCCATATATTCTCATCAAACATAATCTAAGAAATAAAATTTTCAATGAAGATTGCTAAAGTTGCTTGCAAAATTGTTGTTAGGAATCATCCAAAAAGCACCTATCCGATACAACTTTCAGAAGCTGAGCGAAACAACATCACTCCGTTGTAATAATTCCTTTGAAAATAGCATTCCTGAAAGGTACGGATAGGTGTGTTTTCACGTCGCTATGGAAAGTTATCCGGTAAAGTGTAAACTTAGCCAACTGACTCGGTAAGATTTTTTGTGAAAAAATTCAAAACAGGAAGACATCAAGTTTAGAGAAAACAGATCCTGAATGAAATTTATTCAATCTCTGATGAAGGGTAGAAATACGAATTAGTGTCCCAAATATTACCACAAACACGTTTTTTATTATGCACCTGATCATGTTGGACCAAGAGTACTTGAATTCTTATGATTGGATACTTGTAGTACAATTGTGAGACAAACTATGAAATTATAGCCATTGCGTCACTGTTTATCAGTACTGATTTTTTGTTAAAATTAAAGCCTAAAGGTTATCCTACGGATAGTTAAATGTGGTATACTAAACGGGCTTTATGCAACGCAATTTTATCGGCCGGTTAACCAACCGTTGGATAGGGAATTTATACGCCTGATAGCGGTTAAACGCCGTTTAAGTTAAACGCCTTTCGAACAACCGGCCCCTGATTATTATGCGAGCAGTGATATTTTGCAATCATACAATATAGCTCGCATTCATCCATCCTACATCTTGTACAGTCAGCTATCGTTATAGCGGACACCCTGCATTGGGACCGTCATTTGGTATCCGTAATAGTTGGGTGCGATAAAAATAATCCGATTCGAGGTTGTAAAATGCCACTACAATGTAATACTGCTTTTTACACTGACCTGAAAGGTCAAGTGTCTTAAATCCTTAACTTTTTTTTCTGTTTTATTCGTGGTCGTGAAATCGAGTTTGCGTTAGCGCATCGCAGGCTCAGTTTCCAGTAACCCAGTGTTCCAGTTTACTATACAGATCAGTTCCAAGATGGCGGCCATTCAATGAGTGACGTCTATTTCACTCTCAAACAAATTTTTTCATTTGTCAACGAATTTTTCCGCGTTTGTCTATGGATTTTGTATTTATCCTACTCTGCACTTCCTTGGAAGTTGACTTCGTGTTCTTTTTCGTGCAACGTCTCTGGAAATGCGATATCTGGATCGCTGAGTTTTTCGAATTTTATACGTTACGGACTTACGGAATGTAAACAATGTTGTCTGCGTTGGCGCATCGCATGCTCAAAACCATGCGCATTTATGGATAACGTTTGTATTTGTGAGTAATGACGTGTATTAGTGGACATTACGAAAACATTAAACGGTTTCAACTCATCCGTTTCCGCGTGCGTAGTACCCGTACGTAAATGTAAGTATACGTACGTAAAAAAACGGATGCAAAACGCTTGACTGGAAATCAGCCTTTAGGATAATTTTGCGTATACCACCCACTCATGTATCAATCACGCCTTTCAGCCTTTCACGCTTTGCGTTCGCGGTTCGCGATTTGTATTCCTTGTCTATTAAGGCGGATTTCCAGTCCTCGCACAAAGCTCCTCGCAGCTCGGTGCGAGTGCATGCATGAGCACTTTCATCCAATCACAATGCTTAAGAGTTAATTTTAATTAGATGCAAGCACTCGCAGCGAGCTGCGAGGAGCTTCGTGCGAGGACTGAAAAACCGCCTTAACACGGTTTACACCACAGCACGTATGTCGTCATTTTCAGGTCAGTGTGAACGCCTTAGCAGGCGTCTTGTTTCTTTTAAAATGATCAGTTCTTTCAATTTCTAGTTTACATTCACAGTGATACATAAGCATGCAATACAAGTGAAATGACGAAAAGGTTTATTGAACTCACAGATCCCAAGGATCCACAGTCCACAAAATGGCGGATTTGTAAGGGAATTTTGGCTCGTCCCAATCTCCTGTGGCAAGGATTTCGCGCGGTAGCGGGAAGCAGCGTTTCCACTTTCAAGGGAAGTTCCTTTTTCAAGGAAATTTTGACTCTAAAATGGAGTTTCAAGGACGAAAATAGTCTGCTCGCAGACTGCATCCCGTTCCCCCACGGGATGACAGTCTGCTGTCATCCGACGCTAATGCCGTACAAGCTACCGACGAAATACCGGGTGGCCCAAAAAAAAGTACTCCTGTTTGATTCGTAATAACATCTAAACAAGTATAGCTTTTAAAGAGAAATAACTTGCATCAAATAGAGGAAGGACTAACTTAGACTTTGATATATTACAGTTGTATTTCACTTAAAAATTCACGGAGATATTAATCTTTAAATTCGGGAGGATATTTCTGGATGTGTCTGAAATATGCAAAAATCGGCGTATCAAATATTAATCAAGATTTGCCCGACTGAAACATCCACTATTACCAGTAAATAAATGACACTTGACAAATTGTTTATTATGAAACAAAGTATTATTATATCTACAAAATACAAAGTTCGTAGTTCTGAATTAGGGCATGCTGTCACAACGGAATTGTGAAGCTCTTCTAACTTCTGCAACGTTCTGAAATCTTGTTAAGAACACCCAAACTCTTTTGCCGTTTCTTAATCTTGGCAAGTTCATGGAGTAAACTGAGAATTATATGAAACACAATCAAACCATACAACTCCATAAGACATAACAATAAAGCAACTCCCCAGAGACATGCAACATTTTTGGAACAAAACGTAACAAAATAGTAGCGTTGATACGGTGATGTGTATTTGCAAAAAGCAATATTATTTCCTTCAATAAAGAATATTCATCCTGCTCTAACCGAGAAATAATCTACTCAGTCTGTTTGAACCCATTAAAAACATTAAAAAATTAGGCTATTTAAGAATACGAAAAATTTAAGCGCCTGCCTTCCATGGTCAGTCTTTCATGTACATTTAAGCTTGCAAAGACCTAATATTAAATACTTGCATAATTTCGAACGTTCATATTTCAGGAAACAATGAGCTAAGACTTACATGTAAGATGTCTAAATCTACGCCATATCCCTTACAAACCTTAACGATAATTCGCTGAAATATACAAGTTAGCCTAATATGTCATTAAGCAAACAAACGCTGGAGTTAATATTTGATATGCCGATTTTCGCTAATTTTAGACACATTCCAAAATATGCTCCCCATTTTTAACATTAATATATCCGTGAATTTTTAAGTTAAATACAACTGTAATATATCAAAATCTAAGTTAGTCCTTCCTCTATTTAATGCAAGTTATTTCTCTTTAAAAACTTTATTTGTTTAGAAGTTATTACGAATCAAACAGGAGTACTTTTTTTTGGGCCACCCGGGTATGATCGGCAGTTTTTCATTGGTTCGTTTCAAAATTATACTTGCATAAATTTGCTTAGCTAATTTCGAGACGAGTATACCGGTTTTACCGACTACATAAAGTTTCTGGATGCTGTTGGGCAGACATTGCCACACAAAAGAGCATTTAATTTTTTGGCATGAATAAATCTGGTAGAATTTACAAATCTGGCATATTTTTGGGTAGGGATAAAACGCTGAAACTGAATCGCGGAAACGGAAACTGAAAGCGGAAACTGAAATGGGGATAAAACGCTTAAATGGGGATAAAACGCTGAAATGGGGATAAAACGCTGAAATGGGGGATAAAACGCTGAAATGGGGATAAAACACTGAAATGGAGATAAACGCTGAAATGGAGATAAAACGCTGAAATGGGTACAAAACGCTGAAATGGGGATAAAACGCTGAAATGGGGATAAGACGCTGAAGTGGGCAAATTTAATCGAATTCGTTGTTTGCTAGACCATTGCGAACACATGTAATTTGCCTATAAAACTGAATAAATATAAGAAAGAAGTTACCTAAAATGACAACCACAAATTTTCGAAGAACGTCTGCTGCACTATTTTTAAAGTCGTTTGAATTAAATTTGACTACTATACCTCAAGGTAGAGATTGACAAATTATCAGAGCCGTCCCCAGGAAATTTTTCAGGGGGGTGTAAGGTCATTTCAACCGACTGACGAACTAGCTTGTACCGACCACATGCTAGCCATGGAAGCTTGTAAAATTTCCGATGGAGGTCAACTACGGAGCTATTTTGGATTAAGGGAGCTATACCGAACGTCGAAGATTTCAGAAAGATTTCAGTAAAGTCTTAGTTTATAAAAATCACATATGTATGGGAAATTGTTGCACCCCCCTGTTCCGCGGTCCCTGAAGTTACGCCCGTTGTGCTCTAAATAAAGCCTGTTCTAAATCGCCATATTTGATAAATGCGTTTTTGGCGGGAATATATTGTGTTTAGCGGTTCTACCTATCAAACATGCTACATATACTTAATTTGAGATCTTTTGTATCGCTATGTGGTTTAACTGTCAATCTGGGCTTGTTTTACTAACCGATTATAGTGATTATCCTGCTGAGTAAATTTCGAGTAAGCAAAATTTCAGTTTTATAGAACAGGTGAAAATCATATCGGTAGTAGTTTTATTCGTCAAAAATATTTTTGTCTGCCGACTGAAACAGCAGTCCTGCCGACTGAAGCTTGGAATAGAATTTCTGGGGGTGTCACCCCCCCCCCCCTCACCCCACCCCGTAGCTCCGGGCCTGTAAATTATAAACCTGCGTTTAATAAACTGAATACTGCAGTGAGACAATATAATGCATGTTTGTTATATAATATATCGCAGCAGGGCCTCTTTTAAGGATGTGTAACTGGGG